AAAAAATAATAAAATAAAAAAATAAAAAAATAAAAATAAAAAATTACAATAAAAAATAAAAAAAAAATTATGAAATATGAAATATTAGATAAAAATGACAATAAATTATCAAATTAATTAATTAATTAACTAACTTAATTACAAAATCAATAAAATTTATTACCTAAATTCATCAATTAGTTAAATGATAATAAGTATCAATTATATATTTTATTATATTCATTTTCAATTCAAAATTCTTTCTTTTTCTTTTTTTTTTTTTTAATTAGGTAAAGAAGAAGATGACAATGATGACGATGTTGATGATCACAATGATGATGGTGACAATGATGGTGGTGAAGATAAATGAGTTTGAATACATCTAATTTATATATTTTTATTTAAATTATCAATCATATATTTGTATTTAATGTATAAATTATATGTCATTGGTTATTAATTTTTTTGATTATAAATCTTAAATCTAAGTATAAAGTTTGTAATTATGATTTTTTTTTATCAAATAAAATATCTCAATTTTTTAATATATTACAAATAATGAGTGAATTTTGCAATATTTAATAAATTTTATAGAATTATTTTAATTTATCGATTTATTTTTGATGCTGAGCCTATAAAACATTATATTTATGTCTCCCAAATAGGAAAGTTGCATTCTTTTTCCGAAAAAGAAATACATAATAACAATTTTATTATAATATTACAAGTCATAAATTCAGAAAATCTGTTATTCTTTTTTTCATTTTTATATGAGAAATTAACTTGATTTTAATGTGAAATTTAATTTATGACGTGATGTTATACCTGTTTAACGAGAAATTTCCTATTCGCTAAATTTTGGTTATGTTAAATAACAACTCCAATTAAAAATATAATTAAGGAATTATTAAAAATATAAAATTTGTTGATATGCAAATTAATTTTATTTTTTTTAAAAAAAAATAAACTTCCATTTAAATACTTCTTTTTTAGTCTACATCCATACCCATACCATTGTTATAATCATACCTGGTACTATTTATTACATTAAAATTATTTATTGCATTAAAATTTCCAGTAAGAGCAGATTTCAAACACAATTGGCACTCTTTAACTTCATCTTTTGCTATCACTGTTCTATTCTTATATCACATCTTACGTACTATAAGCGAACGGAAAATGTCTAAAATATGCAAAGATTGCAATAAAAAATATGATGATTGTTGGTGCAAAACCGTGCATCTCAATACATTTTAAAAATGATTTTGATAAATGGGCAAGCGGAAATGATGGTCAAACATTTTAATTAATATTTAAATTTAATTTTAAAATGATTATAACATGTTTCAACTATAAATTTTATTATTAAATGGAAATTCACTTAAAAACAAAGACTCAATTAAATTTTATGGAATTAAAAAGATTCAGAAACAGACAAATACAACAAATACATGTATATGATGATATTAGAATATACGGAAGATGGAGCTCTTCGAGTATATTTTAGAATAAAATTATATAATCTATAGAAAATTGAAGGATATTCATGAGAAAGCAAACATTCAGAAAGAATTTGAAAAAAGGAATTTATTCAAGACATTGTTTAACTTATTAAACCTTTTTTATCCATTTCTACTACTATTTCATCGTTACAATATCTTCCATTGTTGATTTTCAATATCCATCAATCTACCTAGCATAATGTATTGCTCCAAATCCACCTCCATCATTTATTTAGCATCTTTAAATTTATCTATTTTGTCATTTTCACTTGCCTATTTATTAAAATCATTTTGGAAATGTTCGAGTTACATGGTTTGTAATAATTTTTGATTACAATATGGTCATATTTTCAGAAATGCTGTAGATTTCTTCTTTTTTTTTGAAAAAGAGAACAAAAAATCCAAATTGACAAAAATCACATTTTTAAAAATGTAAGCGCACACCATATCAGAAATAGATCTCTATATTTAATTAAGAAAACTACTTTTTAACCTCTAAGTAAAAATATTCAGCCTAAAATTTTACATATTACTATTTTTTAAAAATATTTTATTAAATAAATAAAGTTTAAGCACAACTAACTAGATTTAACTGTCGATCAATATAACCAATCGCTTCCACCCACACCCTATGAAAACTAATTTTATTTCATGCTTCAGATGTTTAATAATGTTATTTTATTTTATTTTTCTCGTAATTTGCTTAAAGAACAATTTTTGTTAATAGTCAAAAGTTTGTTATCTATAAAATTTATTAAATTTAAAGTCAAATGGCTTTTGTGTAACAGATTATCAGCAAATTTAAATACGAAATGAAATTATACTTTTTAATATTATTACTACATCCATTTTATGATCATTAGATTAATTTATTTAATAAATAATTTTTATTATCATTAAAACATGCAAATTGGTTAAATAATGAGATTATATTATCTAATTGTACAGTTTGGAATTTGTTCTTTTATTTTTAATAATCTTAAATACTTCATACTCCGCAATAGAAAACTTTTCATCTGTTTTTCTAATAGGTTTTTTATAAGCATGAAATGAAGAAACATGACAACATAAACATTGCTGTTCTTTAGTAAAATTGGAAACATTTGATTCCATTAGAAATTCAGTACAGCCAAAATATGGACCATAAATATTCTGATATCGATCACTAGGATAGTATAGAGCTTTACTTGGATCATCGATTCTGCTGAGAATTGAATTTTGAATATCCCCATTTTTTAATGAAAAAATGAAACTTTCATTTGTTTTCATATAAGTACCTCCTTTTGAATTATCCCAAACTAAAGGATTATAACCACCAACTATTTCATCAGTCCCAGCAATCTTTGCCACCACAATCGTACAAGCATGTCCATTACACATATTCCAAAATGTTTTCGGTTTAAAACCATCTCTACTTCCTCGAAGAATTAATTGAAATTCATAAGTAGTATTTGGAATATGTAATAAATAATGAATGGTTGAGTTTTGAATCCATGATGAAAGTTCTACAATATGATCTTTGTTGATAATTCTTGATGGTAATTCAGGTTCATTCACTTTTGATGGCAATTCAGGTTCGTTTACTTTTGATGGCAATTCAGGTTCGTTTACTTTTGATGGCGATTTAGGTTTGTTTACTTTTGATGGCGATTTAGGTTTGTTTACTTTTGAAGACAGATTGCGGATTGAAAACTTTCTTGCTGGTGCAAGGGAATTAACGGGTTTATTTGAGGACCAACTAATTATTTAATGTACATAATGCCATATGTTGATAGTTAATAGCTGATTGGAGAGATGTGGCGTTGATATGAAATTAACATGAATTTTGAACTCATTAATTAACAATCAAAGCACTTACTCCGTTAGTTCAACTAAAATATTTGTTAAATCTACACATTCGAGATCTTGTACGACTTTACCAATATTTGGACGTTGATCAGGGAATTGATTCCAACAATCTATTAAATAAGTATGTGATCGTATTTGTAAATAATTTAGTTAATTATTTTGAGATATTATTAATAAAATGAAATCAAACCTTGATAGATTTTAATATAATCATGTGGTGTTCCAATGATTGGATCTTCTCTATTCCCCTGTGAAATATAAACTATCAAGTCTAATTCATCCTGAAATTTAGATTCATATGGCATTTTTCCACTTGATATTTCCCAAAGCAAAATTCCAATACTATATATATCGGAAGCTTTAGTTTTTCTATATTTGCCCGGATTTTTGAGAAGCATTGGGTCTGAATGTTCTATGGACCCCAGAAAATTTTTTGAATCAATTAGAGATTCAATATTAAGCCTGGAAATACCAAAATCACTAATATTAATAGATTTATCATGGAGAAGAATATTCTCTGAATGCTGTAAAACAAAATTGTATTAAATTAAAAGATCAATTATTGTTTTTTATAGTATTTACGAAAACTAATTACACAATTACCAGATCTCCATGAATGATGTCATTTGAATGCAAATGTTCAATTGCTTTAAATATTTGTTGAGCAAGGTTTAACTTATCACTCCACTCATGTTTTTCAAAATTAGATTTTAGGTGGTCACGTAAGGTTCCTCCATTTGCATATTCTAATACAAGTATATATTCATTGCTTTTCAAATCTACATCAAGTGCATATAATATAAAACATAAAATATTTCATAAAAGTAATTATTATTAATTTGACTTGAAAGATCAAAAAATTCAATTTAAGATTACCTTTTTGTGAAATTCCATAGAATCCGATTATATTTTCATGCGAACTGGCTCGTGAATACCGTTTAAGCTAAAAATTCATTAAAATAAATAATCGGCAAATTGGTAGGTTTTTGGTATAGGATAATTATTAAATAGTATTTACCTCGTTAAAAAATAATTCCACAGTAGCAACAACTATAGATTTTAAAACCACTGTTCTCTTTCTATTCTTTCCATTCTTTAATGTTGCACTGTAAATCATTCCAAATTTCCCTTTTCCAATATTTTTAAGATTTTTAAAATCATTATAATTATACTTTATAAATTGATTGCCGATTGTTACATTATCATAGTCATTAGAATTAGGAGTAGTAGATAAGGAAGTAGATAGGGAAGTAGATATGGAAATGGATAGAGTAGATGATTCTTGGAGATTTTTCATTACTAAAAAATGTAAATAAAATATAAAGATGAAAGTGTTAATCAAATAATACATATCATTAAAACGCATATAACATAATTAATAATATATTATAAAGAAATACCTGTAACTTCCCCCCAATTTGATGTTGTAAATGAAGAAGTAATGGATACGGAATCTCTACTGAATACGTCCATTAAAGCTTGAGATTGATTATTAATATTAGCTTTTAATTGAATATCTTGATATATATTCTCTAATTTGATATTTTCGAGAGAATCAAAAATATTTTCAATAGTTGGCCTTTGATTTGGATCATCTTTCCATGCATTTGAATATATTTTGATATAATCTTTTG